CTCTCTCTCTCTCTCTCTCTCTCTCTCTCTCTCTCTCTCTCTCTCTCTCTCTCTCTCTCTCTCTCTCTCTCTCTCTCTCTCTCTCTCTCGCATCGGATTTCACGCCTGAATCAGAGCGTGTTTGTGGAGAGATGCGGAAAAGTGGAGTCTGCCCCTCTCTCTCTCTCTCTCTCTCTCTCTCTCTCTCTCTCTCTCTCTCTCTCTAGCATCGGATTTCACACCTGAATCAGAGCGTGTTTGTGGGGAGATGCGGAAAAGTGGAGTCTGCCCCCCCCCTCTCTCTCTCTCTCTCTCTCTCTCTCTCTCTCTCTCTCTCTCTCTCGACTGCTGCTCACTCGTAGCAGCGCTGTTGCTCTCCAGGCCGTCGGTGCGTGACTCGCGGCCGCGCTGTTGCTCCCCAGGCCGTCGGTGCGTTGCCCCCCTCCTCACCGCCCCGCCACCTCCTCCATGCTGCTGAACCATGCACAAGTTGTGCCGTCGCTGGATGATGGCGCCAAAATTCAAAGCGCTCCAGAAGTTCAAAAGTGGGGAGCGAACCATGCCACCTGTTGTGGTTAGGTTCGCCCCCTGTTGTTTTAATGGGAGCGAAACTCAGCATCCCGTTTGAAAGCGGTAACGCATCCAAACGTGGGCCGTGGTGCAGCCGCCAAGAGGGAAGAGCAGCTTGCGAAAAATTTGAAAGAAGGTTCCTGCTTTTTTTTTTTCAGGAGGACCTCGACCTTTTTTTTTTCCAGGCAGGCCGACGGCTGGACTTGACATTTCGTGCGTGCACCTTCAACTTTTTTACGTGGGTGGACATTTCGTGCAGGGATTGGGGGGGATGGGGGGGGGGAGGGGGTCCTCATGGGTTGTCCTTGGTCTGTGGGTTGAGTGACCCAGGCCTACCACTCACCCACCTGTCACCCACCCACTTGGGTGACCCAGGCCTAATGTTGACCCACCTGTCACCCACCCAGGCTGCCTGGTCTTGACCCGCCCTCATCCCACCCAGGTCACCTTATCAAGACCCGCACCTGACCCAATGTCCTCGTGGGTGCAGGTGGGTGCGGGTCTGGGTACCTGGTGCTCATCTCTGCATCAAGGCCTGCGTAGGTTTTGCGGGCCAGGCACATCCTTTCAGCCATGGAAAGCGATGTGTCAATTCGTTCCACCACCCACCCGGGAAGGATTCCCTAGGGGGCCTCTGCGCTCGCGCGGCAAAAGAAACGACCAAATAAGGGTTGACGGAACGAGTCGAAGGGAGACAAGGGGGAGGTCAGAGCGAAGCGCGGGATCAAAGAATCGGGTGATCAGGGGTGGTTGGAGGCAAACGTAAAGAAGGCAGGTACGGAAGAATGTCGGGGGAAGAAGAACATGCGGGGATCAGGAGTGGGGGGAGAGAGAGAGAGAGAAAGAACCACACACAAGAGGACAACAGAGATTCGTCAAAGCAACTTCCCACCAGCTGTCCCCAAAATCACATCATCTTTCACCATATATCGCGCAAAACGCAGCCGTCTCCTTCTTCGATATTATCCAGCCATTCCCTTACCATCGTCGGACGTCCTCGGCGTACCCCATAGCCACCACCATCACGTCGTTTCCACGCGGGGGCGTATAAGGAACGCAAACACGCTTCACAGTGCGGTCGGGGGGGGCACCCCCTGGCAGTGATGGAGGAAACACGTCCTCTTGAGTGTGTAGCATGCGTGTGTCACATGCGCTTCGCACGAGCACGACAAGTCATGCTCGTGCTACTCCGACTAAACAGACGTCGGCACACTGTGAGCAAAGAGCAAGACGCGGGAGGCGATATCCAAACATGGCGAGGTAAAACCACTCGGTATGTCCATTCTGTGGTGAGGGTAACCACGGGGCCGTTTATCGGGTGAAGTCGGCCAAACCTGCGCTAGTGGCGATTCGAAGTGAAGGGGGGTAGGGGTGCTTCGCACTCCATGGGGGCAACGATAGAATCATTCATTCCGAAGGGAGGGGAGAATGTGTGAACAAACAACGAAAGGAAGATAATTTGAGGAACCGAAACACAGAGCCAGCATTGATGACAACCTCACATCCGCCAAAGTTCAAATGTAATCAAACACTTTCTTATTGGGATACCATCCTCAGCCAATCAACAAGATGCCAAATGATCAAAACAAATGAAAACGGAGAAGGGTGGGAGCGCTATCCATAGGACAGGAATGGGGGAGGGAGAGAAAGACAGAGGGAGGGGGAGAAAAAGGAAGGAAGAGGGAGAGAATAGAGCGGAAGGACAGGTAGAGGAGGAGGTAACGGAGTGTGAGAGAGGGAGGGGGGATTATAGAAAGGAAGGGGAACACATCAATAAAAAACGAGCAATTCCATAAAAGTCGTATCTCAGAAGAACAAAAACAGCATGATCAGTTTATAGTTGCAACAAAAGCAATTACAAGTTACATTGCCTGTCCCGTATCCCTGTCA